ACAGAAAGTGAAGCAGAAGAAGCAAAACAGTCCCCATCACCCAGCTGCTCGCAATGCTTCAGTTGACATGATGCCAATGCCAAAAAGCTGCCCACTGACCAGTCATCCTGGCTGAGTATTTTCCAAGACAAGTCATCCTCATCCTGGCTGAGTATTTTCTTTTCTGCTTCCCCCAATTTCCACCGTAGGGTGAGTGACGTTCAGCCTTGCGTCAAGGAAGGACTTAGGCTCTAACACCTTTGGAAGGGATTCGGAAGGGCTAAAAGCTGGAGGACATCTCTGAAAGCCAGAATTAAAGCTGAGTGCAAGCCCAGAAAGAAGGGATGCTTAAAAGGAGGGATGTTTAAAACCTGACCTCAACAAGGTATTTTCTGTAATGCTCAAAACGTTCTCACATGACTAAGAGAGCAGCACAGGCTGAGCCGCATCTGAAGGGCTGATGGCACTTGGGTGGCTACCTGTGTGACTTTGGTGGCTTTGCCACATGTGATCAGCACACCTGGGACTGGATCCACACCCTGTGCAAGCCCGTGCCAACCCCCATGGACATAAGCGAACGCTAGTGATTTGCCTGCCAGTTTTTGGAGACAAAACCTTGTACTCCTCTGGGCATATATGGTCACACTTCCCATACTTCTGCCATAGGTAACCACGTCCTTGGGTGACTGAGCCTTTAGGAAAGGGACTTAGTGCCACTTTTGCACCAGAGCAGGGTGCCAGGCAGCACAAGGCTTGGATAAGCAGATGTCCCTTTGGGACTCTGTGAGATGAATGCTGCGGTGGAAGCATGAGGGAGCGGGTTTCCTGGGATCCTTCTGGCTTCAGAATGACCCCCTGGCACCATGCACAGTGTAACCAGTGGGCACAGTGGCTGCTTCTGCCACACAGGGAGGAAGGTGATGGGTCTCCGTGGTACTGGGAGCAAGGGGCAGGGTCCCATGAGGGCTGCCACGCTCAGGGATGATGGGCAGATGATCCTGCAGCTTTGGCCACGCCAGGGAAGGTGCCGGCTCTCGGTGCAGCAGCGGGACTGAGGCTGCTGCAAGGCAGCGACTCAGAGCAGTGGCTGCCCATGAAGGCACTTGAAGCTCTCTGATGCTCTCACTGTCCAGGTTCAAAGGGTTTGGCTGACAGGGAAATGCTTAATGCTGGCCCAGAGCGGAGGAATGTGGGGAGGAGCAGGCAGCAGCTCAGGAAAGGGTTTCAAGAATAGCTCCTCCCAGTAAAGTGGGTCACCGATATTTACTGCAACGTGGTGCTGCTGTCTCCAAGCACAGTCATCTCCCAGCACGTCATGTTAAAAGGGAGGCATGAAAAAAAAAGAAAAAAAAAAATAGATTCCTGATGTAGCTGCATCAGCTTCGCATTTTATCGCGTTGATGGTGACGTCAGGGTGGGGGAAAAGTAGGCAGCGAGGTAGCTAAAAACCTCCTTGGGGAGGTGCCTGCAGCAGCTGAACTCAACACAAACGTCTTATGTAAAACTGCTCTAATATTTATGGCCACGCTGCGAGGCACTGCATTACCTCATCTGCACACTCCTGAGGCCAGCAGAAGGCTTAGTCACACTCTGCTATCACTCCTCTTAGGTGCTCGGCTGCCGTTTCATCACCCCGAAAGTGCTTCCTCCCACCGTCGCTCAGCGAGGGAGGAGAAGGTCATTTGCCCCTTTCACCTACTGGCAGACTTTCCTGTTCTGGACGGCAGCAGAAGCAGAGGTACCAACCCCAGAGGAAGCTCTTCATGAGCCAGCRAGGCAGCAGCCTGGTGCACAGTCCTGCAGGACACTTTACTTAGGGGCTAGATAAGAAAGTCATCCACAGCACTGTGATATGGAAATAGCATCACAGCCCATTTGCCACGAAATTCCATGGTGTCTTTACCTTAGGAAGGTCACCACAATGTCCCATGCATCTGAAGGCAAAGAAAGAATTGGACCTGGGAGGCTGGGGTGAAAATTAGGCAACCAGAGTACTGCAAAACACATCCTTCCACCTCCTTGTTTCTGGATGGTCACAAGCCCGGGGCTGGCATTCTCCACCTAGAGAGAAAAGTTTTTAAGAAGCGGCCCCTCCTGCCCATTTGTTAGGATTTGGGTTAGGATTAGGCTTACCCATATGTTACCCACAATCAAGCTTTCAGGACATGTTTGTGCATGGGGAAATTTGCCAATGGACTGTCTTTGGGAGAAGACGGGCAGGTGAGAATGGTCTGGAGTGTCAGGATCTTGGTTCTCTGAAATAATCCCCTTCTCTAGCTCACCTGCAGCAATATGCTTGACCGCAACCTGTTTCTTCCTTATATCACAAAACCACAAGTGACAATGAACCAGCATTGCCATGTGACCCAGTCACATCCTCTGCTGTCTTTGGAGAGACCTTCATTTATCAGGCCAAAATACTTTTTGACACCTTCCTCAGCACATGAGCAAGTGGCCTAAGCCACATGCTCCAGCTGATTTCCAGTTTTCCTCTGACCACCTCAGACAAGACCTCTTCAGCAATGGTAATACTTCATATGTCTATAGTCTCTCCCACCCGAGGGTCTCACATTGGTGAGTTCTGTTTTGTGTAACATGTGCCTTCATCAAAACAATCCTTTTTTTCTGACTTTTTTTTTTTTYCCCCAAGAAGTTGTTTCTTTTCAGGAGCCTCTTCAAAGTGGCCAAATCCTAATTTCCCTGTTTACATGCACCATCTGCCACAGGAACAAAATCTGCAGACTTCAGTCTAAAATTACCTGCTCCTCACCTAGCAGCTGGTGCCAGCACCTGGGTCCGTGAGGGTGACTCAGCCCTGAGAAGCAGTTTTGGCAGGTGCAAATTGCACTCTTCAGAGGGAACTGTGTGTCTGAAATGAGGGGKTTTTTTTGCATGCCTTAGAAAGCTACTTTGATCTTGGATGCCAGCTGAGACACGCAAAACGTGCCCAAGAGATCTGAGAAGCTCCTGGAATTAATTGGCATTCAGCATCCTTTATTCCTTGCTGAAATGGAAATGCTGAAAACCTCTTCCTCTGTCTGTGTAAGAGCAATTGACTGAGCAATATGATGAGGACTGCACTGGGTATCACATTCTCTAGTATAAACCCTTTTAAGGCCTTTTCTGCCAATTTATGGCTCTTACCACATGGCATTGCTGCAGGTCAAACCTGGCCAGTAGCTATATCTGAGGTTGATATTTGCAGGTGGAGGACATTTGGAAATGGTAACTGGATCCTTTTGGGAATTGGTAGCTGGATCCTTTTGTTGTTGCTGCAAGTATAAATTCAGATAAATAAGGAAATGGCAAGATGTTTAACTCCTGCCTAGCCAGCACAGGAGAGGTTTGGAGCCTGACAGGACCCAGACCTTACCTGCCTGCTCAGGGAGAAGATAAAGGTGCCTGGGCTCCAGAAGAGGACAGTGGAGGAAGGAGGTCTTGCTCCGTCCAGGACATGCCTTTTATTTCTGACTTGAAACAGTAAAAGGAACATCACGAGGCTCAGGGATGGGGCTCGCCATTGAAGGGGGAAGGGCACAGGCCTTCTGTTCCGATAAAACTGGAAATGACTCACCCGTTCCACTCGGTGCAGGATTGATGCAGCTTTCATCTGCACCCACAGGAGATGGAGGAGATGCAGTTGCTTGGGGCGGGGGTGAAGTTGAGGCCAAAAAAGTGCCCTTCAAGGAGTTAGAGGAATGTGTATTGCTGTGTTGGCTCTCCTGCCTTGGCTGGGGGTAGCTTGGAGAGCAATGACTCCTATTGCACTGACCTTGGGAGCTGCAGTAGCCAGGACCAGACCCGGAGAACTGTAGTAGCCACTGGCTTCTTTTCACAGCTGCYGGAATCTGAGGGGCTTTTATTTTCCTGTTTGCTTCTTAATCACTGGTTTCAGCACCCTTGCTCCCTCTTCCTGGCCTGAGAAGGAGATAGTTAGTTGCTGTCATGTGAAAACCTCCCTGAAAAGGCACAGATTTTTAAACAAAGAAATGACATGAGGGAATGGGGGGAATTAAGCTGCTTTCTCACCAAACCTTAATTCTCAAGTGCTATTGTCTGTGTGGGAGACAGAGAGAGGGAGTTGGAAGGGGGAGGACTGGATAGGCAGAGGCAGCACAGGGATAGAGAGGGAAGGTAAGAATAACTAAAAGTAACGAGCTATAGAAGAAGAAAGAGCAAAGGTGGAGAAGCAGGTCATTAAAGAGCAACTTGGTGGAATGAATGAGGGATGGAGACAAAGAGCTAGGGAGGAAAAGTCTCACACAGGTACACACAGGCTTAATTTTTGAAAGGTAGAAAAGCATCTTCTTTTCCATCCCAAGTGGGCTGCAGAGATGCTTAAAGATAAGCACATCCTCATGCCCTCAAAAGCATGGGACTGAAAAGGGGAAGGAGAATGAAAAAAGGAGGAGAAGGTGCTCAAGGAGATGACCTCTGCTTGGCAGACCAGCTATGGAAGGGGGTTAAGTGCCTGGGTGCTCAAGGAGGATGCTTTGCTGGCAGGCAGCACCCAAAGGGAAAGGCAGTGCTGGTGCCTGCAAGCACAGCACTAGCCCCAGGTTTGAGGGCTTGCTTTAGATCGGCATTGCAAGGGGCTGTACATGTTAGCTCTGTCCCATGTTACCCCCCTGGCTGGACAAGCAGATAAGACGAAGCAAGGAGAGTCAGAGCATTGGCAGGAGGAAAGCTTAGGGAGGAAATCAATGGATCAGATGAGCAGCGACAAGTTGGGATGAATTTTGCAGAATGCACCAATATCCTTTTGGCTGACACAGACAGAAATTCAAAATAAATGTTGTGAAGCTCAAGGTTATACAAGGATCAGCGTGCAGGTATTGGAAGCACATAAGGACCAAAGCAGCAGCCAAGTCCCTCGGGTTCATCTGTAGACAATTGTGCAAGGACTGTGAGGCAAAGCTTCCTGATGGCTGCTTTAAGGCAAAGCTTCCTGATGGCTGCTTTAACTGATAGAAAACCATGTCAACACTTAAGAACTGCAGATATCTGTTTTAGCCTTTTCTAGTCTGCCTAAGGGACTTGCATTCCTTTTGGTGACACTTCCTTAGAAACCAAGAAATTATTGTAAAGAACTGCTTCTATCATTGCGTAGGCCACGAGCAACAACATAGCTTTGCTGCTTCAAGGAGCCTGGCATCCAGGTCTGCTCTATTGAGGGTATAGATGAGAGATGATACAAAGTGAGGGACCTTGTTCTACACAATATCCCCATATCTCAGGGAAGGGGCGAGTGCCCAYACCACAGCTTAACTCCACTACCTCAGCTTGGTGAGCATCTGGGATTGTGTTTCTGAGTGCTGCAAGATGCTCACCTGATCTGATCTCAGTGCAGAATCAGAGTGTTGACATCTTGTTTCAAAGGGGAGATCTGCAGGTTTTGATTTTCAGTGGCAGGAGAGAACATCATTTCCTCCTTTCATTTTTCGGAACACTATTTAATGCCCAATACTCAGTCATATAAACAAGTATTGTTCAGCAGGAGCCTGAAACTAAACTGAATTGAAAATCTAAGGGAAGACTAGTGCCTAATTTATTTAAAGCTGGGTATGAATTCCTGGGAGCAGAATATCAGCCTCGCACTTTTCAACGATTTATTTCAAAATGGGCCAGAAGATGGTCCAAAGATGGTCCAGCTAGAATCTGGAAATTCCATCTGCTCAATGGAGGTGTCTAAGGTAGGGGCAATTAAATGCTTTTTGGAAGGGCCTGTTCTTTCTCCATGCTACAGAAGAAGCTAAGGAGCTGGGGCCATTTTCCTAGGCTAATTGAGTTACCTTTCAGATGTCTGAGTGAGAGGAGACCCTGAAGAGAGAAGACCTTCTATATAGGAAGGGACTGTGTGGTTTCACTAGGCTCATACGGCAGATGTCTTCTGCATGGCCTAAGCCTGTCTACATGTTTAACTGCAGCCAGGGATAACTAAGCTGGCTCTGGTACTGGAAGCAGTCCAGCTACCACTGCCTGGAGCTTAGCACCCATTAATTAATTGCACTGAGATGCGGATGGAGATCTCTTGCTCAAGGTGTGTTCTGCATTCCTATCTTACAAAGTGTTTTAGTGAAAACTTCATTCTTCAGTTGGGGAGGAAGAACTTCTCTGTGAGGGTGACAGAGTCCTGGAACAGGCTACCCAGGGAGGTTGTGGAGTCTCCTCCTCTGGAGATCTTCAAAATCCACCTGGATGCCACCTTGTGCCCTGTGTTCTGGGTGTCCCTGCTTGAGCAGGGGGTTGGACTAGATGATCCCTAGAGATCCTTTCCAACTTCAACCATTCTGTGATTCTGTGTGCAATTCTGTGACTTTATTTCAAGAAGCAGAGACACCTCTTTGTAGGTTAATGGTTACATTCTTATGTGTTGGCTAAGACAGCAGCTCTTACTTATGGGAAGAAGGATGGGGAGGAGCTGGCTTGACCAACATCTGGTCAGTTAAGGGCTTTACCTGAACAGGAGAATTTTCTTCTGTTTAGAGGTAGTATAAGATATAGTAACATGATCACCAAGCCTGATGTAGCCTGAGCTACAAACTGCCATGATTTTGGCACGGGAAGCCATCAGTGAAGCCATCAGACAAGAAATAATTCACAAGAGACAGCAGCCGAAAGGGTAGTTTCTACCTCATGTCAAGCAGTGAGCTGTTGCTCTATTTCCCTCTGAGCCCAAATCCTGTTTTTTCTAAGTTTCTTCCAGTCCAGCCTTTCTGCTCATCTGGAAATTAGAAGAGAGAACATTTGTTAGCCTGTTTCCTGGAAGAGAAACCAACACAGAACTTTGTTGCTARCCTGGGACCTTCTCCTTGTCTGTCATTAAATGAGTAATCTGGACCCTGTGAGCCATTTTGGAGCAAGTATCTGTCCACAGACATTGGCAGCTCTGGAGGTTTCCAAGGAGACTCTTGATTTCTAATAGTAGATGTTTAATAAACTCATATTTCACTTAGCAGGCAGAAAGCTCTCAGCAGGCCCTTGCCAGCGCTGAAGGTGAGCAGGGCTACAAGGAAACAGGTCAGGAGCACTCAGGTGTGACAGCGACCTCCTGTTCCCTCATCATCTTCCAAGTATCAAGCTGACATGGTGCTGAGTTGCTGGACACCCACAGCAAGCTGACCGGTGGCTGCCCCTTTTCCTCCCCTGGGTAGCAGTGATGCTGTAGCCACAGTAGCCCCATCTCCCCAACTACCCTGCCCAGATCTCACCCTACCAGGCTTGGCTGGCATTGGTTGATGGGTTTTGGCTGTGCCATTCCAACYCTTTGAAGACCGCTTGGTCCATCTGCCGAGCTCTTTGGATGCCCCCTTGCTGCCCTAGTGCTTTCATCAGCTCCTTTGTGAAAACAGCTCCAGTTGACGCGCTRAGACAGCTCCTCACCCAGGTGAGCCCAGCCAAGTGCTGCATGGAGGAGAAGGAGCCAAACCATCCAATTGCACTGGACTTATCTGTCAGTTCACACCAGCTGAGGATGTGGCCTTTGCTTTGCTTTCCAGTAGCTCCACTCAAAACACTGCCWCCACGATCCTTATAGCTCCGCTGTTTTTGGTAATCAGGGAATTAATCCCTGCTTTTTCTACAACAATCATTTGGATGAGGAATATTAGGCAAGATCACACTTATCACACCTAAACTTACCTGGGATAATGCTGCAGAACCAACAGTGAATTGCAGGAAGGGAGAGGCTTTCTTGCAAACAGGGTGAAGCAAGATGATCTGCTTTCCCAGGAAACAAAGTGTTCTCTCCTTTACCTAGAAGGAAGGCAAATCACAGAATTACAGAATCACAGAATGTTCAAGGTTGGAAGGGACCTCTAGAGATCAATTAGGCCAACATTCCTTCTCAAGCAGGGATACCTAGAGGATGTGGCACAGGGTGGCATCCAGGCGGGTTTTGAAGACCTCCAGAGAAGTGTAGAGCAAATGTGTAGAGCAAATGAAAATTCAGCTCTATTTGGTTGGAAATGTGTATATTTTGTCACTGAGAAATAGCATTGTTTATATGGTTGGGGGGGGAAGGTGACCCCAGGTGTGAACTGAACAGCCCACCTTTGGACCTTTGTATTTGTGGACTCATTTTGGTAATGAGAAGGGAGGGAAATGGAGCCCCATCTAAAYCCTTGTGTGTTCTGACCTTAGTATCAGGCAGAGGGCAGGTAATACTGCTGATAGCAAAGAAGTGCTGCTGTAGTCCAATGTATTCCCCGACTTCCAGCCATGCTGAGCTGTTTCTAGTGTGAAAGCTGTGACTGAGTGCAAGGGTTGTGTAGGTGGGAGGGAACTGTGGAAAGATGGGTGCAGAGACCAAGGCAACGTGGACCTGGGAGGGAAGAAGAGAGGAGCCTGGCAGAGACTGTCAGCCTGATGAACACCACTCAAGTGTATCCCAGTGTATCCCAGTCCAACGGGCAGGCTTATAGGTTTTACGCATCACACTTACCATGGCAGGAGCACTCAGAAAGGGTTTTAGCCTCATGATGTGGCTATGAAGTGTAAAATCTCTGTAAAATGCTGGTGAGGCACCTGCCCCAGGCTTTGCTTGCAGTGGTGCAGCAGGTTGTGGGCCGATCGTGCTTTCACACATACCGTTGATCACATTGAGCTCTTCTCCTCCCCTCTTCCCTCTGTTCTTTCATTATAGCTGCATTTAAAGAGTCTCATTGTGGGAAATCATTTCCCTGAGCCTTGTTCACCCAAGGAAGAAAATATGGAGCTGTATTCAGGGCTATGGCTCCAAAGAGAAGCTCCAAGATCTGCTAAGGGAAGCTCAAGAGTGAATAACTGATTTAGCCCACTTGTTCTCCAGGCCTGCTGAGGCTAGCTCCTGATTCGGTCACGGGAAAGGGCCCGCACCTGTCAGCTGCTCTGGTTTGTTCTCTCAAGGACAGGCACTGCAGTAGATGCTTTGCGTACAGCTCACAGTTCCTAAGGAAAGAACCAAGAGTTTTCTAGTCTTGCATTCTCTCCTCTCCTGTTGCCTTTGGGTGGAACAGTGCTTGTTTCCATTCAGCTCTTTGYTCACATCTCATTGCTCTGTTTCTTCTCGCAGGTGCTGTATCATGTCCCGATAGGACACCCCACTGTCCCAGTCATCGGAAGGTAGCTGCTCCAAGGGCTCGAGTCAGCCACCTGAGGTGACTCCTCAGCTTTCTGCAGCAGCAGGGCAAAGGGGAAGAGGTGCCCTCAGCATCTGACACCAGGCCGCTGCCCAGAGCATTTGTAGGGATGGATTCCAAAGGCAACGTCCGAAGCGGAAACAAACCTGATGCCAAGGCTCCCAGCTCCGGCAAGGCGGAAAAGCCCAATCCTGGGCCTGCCACGAATGCAGATAAGAAAGAAACCCCTTCCAAAGAGCAAGCTGCACCGGCCACTGCTGCCTCTACCGCCAAGAAGGGTGGTGGTGATGCTGCTGTCGTCAACAACCACAGCAACCTGAAGCCCAGTCCCGCCGCCACGGAGACACAAGAGGCCACCGGCCAGTCCCCTGACTCTGATCACAAGGAAAACAGCAGCGAGGAGTCGCCAGGCAGCATCTTTGACAACATGAAGCCCCTGATCATCGCTGGAGGAGTGGCGGTGGCTGCACTTGCTGTGATTGTGGGAGTGGCGTTCCTAGCCCGGAAAAAATGAAGATGGAGACAGGGTGGGGCCGAGACACCCAACCCGGTTGTACAGTTCCTTTTGAGACAAATGCATGCAGAAAATTCTATACATATCTATATATAGCAAGCGAGCTAGCTAGGTCAACAACCAATACCAACTGCAACTCCAAGAGTCTTGTCAAGGACAACTGTGCCAGTTTGACCCAGTGTGGGTAACTCCATGCACTCCGTGTGTTCTTTCATGTAATATATCTTGGCTTCTACCACTGTGTATAGATTACAGCTTCTCCTGATTGGTGTAAATGATGGTGTCCCCTCCCCTCCCCTGCTGTCCTCCCTGGGAGACACCCCCATCTTTCTTGCAGTCCCCTGTTTTCAACTCCAAAGTGTTCTTCGTCCCATCCAGAGTCCCCTGCTTTGTGTTTTGGTTTCCGTTCGGTTTGTTTTCGAGTTGGTCTGTGGTAAAGAAGATGGAAGGGGAGACAGAGCCTAGCAGCAAAACCCTGTTCCCCCATCACTGTGTGCTGGGCTGGTGCTCAGCCAGCACCTGCCCAGAGCAGGGATATCACCGGGCATCACAGGAGAAAACAGGACAGAGGTCCTTGACCCCCAAGCAGCAACGTGGTCTCTAACAGATGCCTTGCAACCTGCTGCTCAGCACCTCAACTGTAACCAACAAACACCACTTGAGTGCCCCAGAGAGAGCCCCAGCTGCCCTGAGCCTGCAGCAAGGTAGAGCCAAGGGAGCACCTCAGCATGTCCCAAGAAGCCTTTTCTCCGGCCAAGCTGCCAGCTGGAGGCTGCACAAAGTGGGCTGCGCAGTGCCCGCCAGTGCATGGAGACACCCAGCCAGGGGACAGGAGGCACTTTGCTTCGGATCTAGTGTTGCCAGTTCGGTCTAGTGTTGATCTAGGACGTGCTTTGCAGGACACTTGGACCTCAGTGCAGACTCCGAGACAGCCGGACTCTTCTTGCTTGTTGCCTGGGGCTTTGGAGCAGGCCGTTCATCTGAATATTTTCCCACTAAGGGCTGCAGCCTCTCTGTACATGAAGAGTTCRAGAAAAGATGTGGGCAGATAGGATCTAGAACCCCGTAAGAATAGTTTGGATCCCATGAGATATGTTTTACATCAGGGAAGCCCTATTCAAGAGCACTGAAAATCTATCTATTGTAGAAGAATCTCTTTCCTCTCTCCTATGACTGTAGCAAGGATGTGTGACTTTTCCATGCTTTGAAGCTGGAAATAATTTTCCAGCGCTCATGAAACGATTGGTTTCATTGATGAGTATCTCGGATCTAAAGCCCGACTTTGTGAGGAGGAAGAGAAGGAAAGAGGATGGCAAAAGGGAGAGGGTGTTTAATACACTGGCTGATGCCCTTCCTGAAACACCAAGAGCAGTGGGCAGGTCTCATTATTCTGAGGGTTTCCTTTAGGCTATTTTGGCTTCTGTTCTGCTTTTAAATAGGGTCGATGCTTCTGTCAGAAGCACAGAAAACAAGTTCTTGGAACTCAAGATGTAAGGGGTGTGAGTGACGCTCCGCAGACACTGCAGAAAGGGAGATCAAAACAGACTAGTAACAGGGCCTACGTGAGAGGTGTTTAGCTGAGCCTGGATATATAAATTTGGTGGATACCAGGCAAAAAGCAAAGGTGAACACTCCTAAGCCACTGCAGATACCAGTGGGCAGGACAGTGGATGTGTGTGGCCCAATATGGTAATACTGCTCTTGGCTCATGTCTTTCTTATTTACTTCCAAATTCAGTTTGCCGGGCACATAGAGCCTCCCAAAATACAAAGCCTTTGGCCACAGCTTGGTCATTCCTGTGGTGACATCTGTCATCCACTTCTTTTTTTCCCAAGGCTCTAAGACTTTTCCCAAAGGTATATAGTCTTTGGGAGTATCTGATGCCGTCTTCAGATGAACAACAGATTCAACACAACTGAAGTTTTAGGTCTATGTCTGCCTTCATCAGTACAGAATAAGGGGCATGGGTAGGTTGGGTTCACACTCTTTTTTGACCAAGTGCTAGCAGCGACAGGTGAAATCTTGGTAACTTCAAGCACTTTTTGCCTGTATTATGAATGTATATTGTTTAGAGCCTGGAAAACTTCTTGTTATTGAACTAGGGGTCCACAGCTGGGTGTTTCTATAATGCCATTTTTGTCTAAAGAACTGATTTTCCCTCATCCTGTTTTGTTGATGCTCAGAGGTTATTTGGGAAGTGGAAGTGTGAACGATAGAAAGGAGGTATGAGAAGTGATGGGAAAGTGGAGATGTAAAAGAGAGAAGCTCCAAAACAGCCCTCAAGGGAAACCCAGGTACATAAGGCAGAAGCAAATAGCAGTACAGTCCGGCCAGAAACTCAGTTCCACAAGTGGGAGGCCTGTGCCCACTGGGGACAGCAAAAGGTACCCTCAGAGCCAGCTACCAGGGAGCCCTTCCTGGGCTCTCCTTCCCATCCACCTCTGAACCACGAGGTTCTTGGCTCTAGCGGGTTTTCAGTTACATTGCTCACAAAGGAAGAAATCTGTCCGTCCCCATTCTGTTCACGTTTTGCCAATGCAGGGTTGGCAAACCTGCCAATGCAGGTTTGCGAACAGCGACTTCTGTTTTGGAGAGTCATGTCTCCACAAGATGTTTCTAGCTGCCCTGCTTGCTCTCCCCATCCTGGCTTCTTGAGTTTTCTAGCAGTGTGTGAYAACGTTACAGATGTAGCATCCAGGTACTCTGCACCGAGCAGGATATGGGCACCGATATGGGGAGAAAAAGAGAAAGTCTAGTGTTTTTATATCTTTGATTTAATCTTTGCTAACAGAAGAGGGAAAAACAGTTCTCAGCCAACATGGGCCATGACCTTAAATTTCTGTTCACCTCTAAGCCCCTTCTTAGAGCAGCCAGATGCAAGGCCAATAATCCCATCTGAAATTATTCCTATGAAATTTCAAATTATCTGAAAACACCCCACAGTAACGGCCACAGGCTTGCAGCTCAGTATCTGGGAACGTAACCCTATGCTCAGTCTCCTTAGGCAGTGAACACAGTATGTCCTGCCCCTAAGGGATCTGTCATTTACTGGAATGATTGAACATTTTGGTCTGCTGTCCAGAGTACCTGGAGCCAAGTTTTTAGGTGATTTGGAAAACACCTGTGTTTACTCTGTGTGTGTGTGTATGTGTATATACACAACCCTGCCTTCAAGATTATTCTGAATATGTATGTATGGATGCATACATACAGTACATATATTTATACCACTGCAGTCTGGGTAAAGCCACATTCTTTGTAGGAAAAAAACAAAAAAAGGCAAAACAGACCTGGATACGCCCATTCATTTGTCCCCCCGCATTCACACAAAGTGTCCGTGATGTCTTTTTTTGTGCCATCCACTCCATGCCATGCAGCACCTCACTTCCTTTTCCCCTTTTCCATTCTTTTTTCCCTTGATCCTGGTTTCTTATCGCGGCAAAGAATGTACGGCTGGCAAGTGGTTGAATGTACAACGTCCCCGCTGCACTAGAAGCTCAAAATTACCCTTCCCTTCCCTCCACGGGCGCGTGGGCTGCTCTCTTGAAACCAGGCACTTCTTTTAGGCCTTGATGAACTATATGGGACTGTGTTGTGGCGTTTTTCAAAGCGTGGGTCTAGCAGTGGCTGGAGTTAGATAGATGAAGCATAGGTGCCATAGGGGCTACTATGCATGCAGCTGGGCCAAGCCCTTCAGTCCCGAGCTGCCAGTGCCCCTCGTTTTTAGCAGACGCCTCCTGTTCCGCCTTGAAGTGCCAGGCTTTGCAGTGGCTTCATTTTGAGACCAAAAGTCCAGCGAGAAGTAGGCTGAGGAGAGCAAATTCCTCTCTCTCAGCACCAGAGTGAGAAGGAAGGCTTAAATGATTGAACTCGCTGTGCTAAATAAATAGTTGTCTTTTCCTCGTATTGAGCACACGCCGTTATTTGCTTGGTGTTATTCTTTGTGTGGTGTTTGTGATATGAAGTCCTTTTAGTAATATCTCCACTTGTAGAATGAGCTATTGCTTAAATCCGGTACAATCCTGCGCTTGGGATTTGAAGAGATCTAGATTGCTAGTTTACTCTTTTGATAAAGTTTTTAATTAGATATTTTACCAAAAAGAAAAAAAAAAGAAGAAGATTTCACAGACATTGCAGCTTATCACTGAAACTATAGGTTCGATTATGGTGCCTGATGTCAAGTTATTTTTAAGGAGCCCTAAGTTTTAGTCTAACACAAAGATGTTGTTACAGTCCCTTGGGCAACTTTGTAGAAGGTTTTCTAAGCTTCTAACTTTAAGAAAACTGGAACAGATATGGTTCTGCCTCTTCTTTCTACTGATTTAACAGGCTATGGCTAAGTCCTCTTACTCTTAACAGTTCTGCAGAAGGAGAGAGACTAACCTGGAAGCCAAAGGATAAAACTAAAGGCATTTTGAAGATGGTAAGAATGCATTTTGGCAGGTGCTGATCACCCCTCGGGCTCCAATTTAACAGAGGCCTGAATATTTGCTTGCTGTTAAGCACTTTTTAGCTTCAGTGAGGGAAAATGTATTTATGGCTTTGTTGAGGCAAGGCTTTAGGGATGGAAAACAAGGGGAATTTTCCCCCTGGTTTCAATATATCATGATCAGGCCTTGAGATCTTATTGGCACCAGGGATATGATTGCAGGTCATTATAGAAAATAAAGCCATTTCAGCGGCAGGTTCTTTAGCTGACACAAGTATTTCTTAGCCTTTCTGCTGAGTGAAGTCTTCTCTAAGCAGCCATGCTCATAGTCACGCTTATACCTACATTAATATTTGTGTTTAAATAACGATGTAAGTAAAAAACCTAGAGTTTGTGAGAGGAAAAGATTCCTGCCTTAAAAAAATTGCCTTCCTTTTTGAGAAATGCCATTGGGGTTTAGAGCAATGAACATTTCTATGAACTATTCGAACGGGTCAAGAGTAATCCTGGAGATTTGAGGGAAAATGTGTCCTTCAATAAATAAATGAAAAAACAAAAAGTGAAATTCCAAGAATTTGATTCAGCTCAGCAGCTGACTCAGTGCTTCAATTCAATGCTTCTGAGAGCATATGAAAATGGTGCAAAGAAATGCAGAAAAAAATACAGAGCATTATTATCTTAACAACTTTGCTGGGTTCAGCAAATTTTGCTAATTTGCACATACATTTTTACAGCCTACCCACTTCTATTTTTCTCAAAGGGAAAAGCAAAAATGACTGGTTCCTTTCAAGCCTTACAATTAAACTTTACTAACTGCTTTTTCCAAGTGCATTTCTGTTAGCGCTTTTCAATACTAAAGGCTTTACGGAACAGAAAACCACCTTAGAAGTTAGGCACTTCCTCCTATAAAGGTGGTTGACTTTGCCATAAATAATGAAAAGTCTGAGAACTTAACTGCTAAGTTTGATACAGTTCTGAGGCCCAGAATCAGGATGTTTCCCAAAATTTACACCAGAAGAATTTGGTCCTTTAGTCTTTTACAGAGCATTTACTGATGGTGAAAGGCTGATCTGCACTGGCTGCACATTCTACAACTGGTCCTAAAACTGTTGCTCCTTTGGCAACGATTGTGCTGTGGTCACAGCAATCTCCAGAGCCAGGGTGTGTAGTTCCACTCAGTTTCTATAGTTTCTACTGAAATTATGCTCTGTGGATTACAAAGAAGCCAAAGAAGACAACGTGAACACAATCTGCCTCATACTGTGCATTAAATATTGCTGCTCTCTTTGCTGTTCGTAATCGTCCCTAAGCACTTGTCTTGCAATGGCTCTTTTTTCTCATTCTTTTCCAAATCTCTTCTGTCTCTGTTTGGGTGGCAATTCAGTTCACTCCTRAAGTTCATCTCTTTGAAATATTATTTGATTTAATGGGAAGGTTTTTTTTTTCAGCTGCATTAAGAGCAAGGAGCACAAAGAGCTCAAGGAGAACATGTGGCAAAATGAGAAGGTTTTTCATCTAGGTTCATCACACCGAATGTAGCTGTACAGCACRGTTGCTCTCCTTGAGTTGGGTCATAATATATTGATATCTTGAGTTAGGTTGTGATATTTCACCAGTGCGGGTGATGATGACAGGTACTACTAATTGTACTTCAATGTAGCTGAGAGATACTGGCTTGGAACATGCTCTCTGTGCCACTCAGTTCGACTTGGCTGAACCAGTTCCAGTGATGTTTTTCTTAATCTTTTATTGCATCTTTCTGTAGATAGCTCCGATCCCGTTGCCTTGGTGGACTGGCAATGGAAATTTTAATCCAGCACTTTCCTCCCTTCAGCCAGGGCTTCTGTGACAAAGACTTTTCCCTCTTCTGTTTTAGATCAACAGTTCAGCCCTGTGAGCAATTTCACTTTCTCTGCCCAAATTCCTAGCCTGTTTGCCCATACTAGGTTCTCAACCAGCAGAAGGTACCTTGCTCCCTGATTTCTGAAGACCTGTTTGCTTCCTCGCTTTGCTTACACTTTCCTCCTTCAGCTACTGAACTGTATTCCCCTTTCTTTCCTTATCTTTTTTTCCAAAGGCAGTTTTGCCAATGTGGCCAGGCAGAAGCTCTACCACAATGTGGGGTCATCCCATCCGAAAGATATAGGAAATATTCAGCTGCAGAAGATCTCAGGAGAATGAGAGACTGTGCTGTACATGCACACGTGTGATTTTCATCTTCTCCAAATGCTGAAACTCTTGAGTTAGTTTAGGTGCCAAAGACTGCAAGATGCTGAGTGCTCTCTTGGGCCACAGACGCTCAGCACCAGTGCTCTGAACTTGTTGCTGGCAGCTCTTTCTTGGGGCTGCTTTTCCAGGACAGTGAAGCACTGCAAGGGCACAAACCCTGCTCAAGATCACAGCTCTGTCAAGATTGGGCTGCCTGTCAGTAGGGAGCCAGGCTGCTCAAGAAATGCTGATGCAGTACTGGACTACACATGGCTAAAGCTAGTGCCTCTTTGGTCTTCATGTTATTGAAGCAGCAAGCACAGAGGCACAGAAAAAAGGTCCTCAAATGGTTGGGGGCTTCCTTGGAGCTGAAATCAATGACTGGCATTTCGGTGGGCCCTAGGACCTGCTTATGTGCACGGAACATGCTGCAGCTCTCAGTCCCCTCTAGCTGCAGGACCAAGGGCATGGAAGATGCAAGGACCATCCCCTTTGCCTAGGCAGCTCGAGCGTTGCTGTTCTGTACAGTAAAACAATGGAAATCCATGTCTCATTCAACTAACCTTGCTGATAAGTTGATTGTCAAAGCTTGCAGGTGATGTGACAGGTCATAGCTATGGATTTTCCAAATAACACGGGCTGGGCTCTRCTTTGCTGTTTTGCAAAGTGCTTGCTTTATTCACGTACCCTGCGAGTCATTTTCTCTGCTCTTTGATGCTATGCCCTTCTGACCAAATAGATCTGGTTTTGCTCAAAAAATATAAAACAGATTTAATAGGATTTGGTGAAACAGATTTTTTATATGTTTCTCTTGTTCCCATTCTTCTTTAGTTTCCATTCTCCTTTGGTTTCTTATAATGCAAAGCCCCAGACCCAAGATCAGAAGTGTCAATCCCAAGATTAGAAGCTCTTGGTTGCTCCTGTCCAAAAATCTCATCAAGAAGAGAGGAATATTCAGTTATCTTTGCAACAGCAGAGACCTGCATCATATCCCTAATTTTGACATAGGAGTTTCAAGCAGTCTTAATTCCTGGGGCAATCTGATAAGAAGGACAATGTCACACTAATTTCCCATGTTAAAAACCAAAAACAACAAGCAAATCATGTGGCTTTCTTAGTTTTTGAGCAGCCTTGGTTAATCTTTGCACCTTTTCCCAAGACACATGTGAGACCTCTTTCAATTGGCAACTTTTAAAGGTGCAATCTCAACTCTCAAGTAAAAATCCGCTCTTCTTGTGGTAGGTGCAGGTTGTTTACAAGCTTGTGGAGAAAGCAAAATTGTAGAAAAGCAACTTGAAGGTCAGATTACAGGGGATTTTTTTTTCCCCTTGTTTTGCTTTGATTCTATTACTTTTCCAGGGACTGATCCAAAGCCCTGCCTGATGTCATGTTTGAAGCCACAGGCTTCTTCTTCCCTGGTATCAGTGGGTGTTGAATCAGCCCTTGAACGTGTTTTCCAATTACCAGTRTTCCCGAGTGACACCTTGATTTCTTCCCTGTAGGAACAGACCTGCTTGTCACTTACACGTATTTACCTGTGTTCAACATACAGGTTCGTTTTTTTAATATTTTCAAAAGCAATATGCTGCTAGATACATTTCCTGGAGGGAAATGGACACCTACCTACACACAAAGCTATACAGCTAATTTATACCTTGTTGAATTTATAACCTTGTCTATGCTGCTATGGACACTTTGTATGGGCTGCAGCTCAAATCCTAAAATAGTCAAGAATTTTTTTCCTTTCCCATATAGTATTCTATTTACTTTAATTAAAAAAAATGCGTATAAATGCAATAATGCAGGTAGACTAGAAATACTAGATTGAAAATTAAAGTAGTTTAGCTTGTCCCATTGTGACTGACAGTGTTGTATGACACCCAACGCTGTACCCTAACATTTTCCAGGCTTTCTACGTAGCTGAATCTAGTATTAGCTTTGAAAACCCATTGTATGAATGGTGGGTGGATGGGTTGGAAACGTGTGCTCTCTACACACTGTATGTTACTCACATCAGAAGCTGTATGGCCACTCCATATGCTGTGAAACTGTAAATGATTCCCAAAACACTTGTAACTCTTAACAGGATTGTGAGAAATAAACTATATATAGATATCTATACACAGAGATATATTGTATAATTCCTCATGTGACTATCTTTGTGTATTTGGGTGTGGAAGCAAACATGGCTCTTTTTCCCCTCACTCCTTAGTTATGGAAATGTTTCCTGCAGGCTAAATATGACACTAGTATTAAAGAGCCCTACACTACAGTGAAAGSCAGTCCCTGCCCCAAACAGACCGCAACCTACTGAATAAAAGCAGACCAAAGGAGATGATTATTCTTCCCACAGAGGAATTAAGGTGTAAAGCAATTAAATGACTTACCCAGACGCACAAGTCAGGATAAGTCCAAAGGGAGGAGTATTTCAGCAGCAGATTTTGTGGTAAATGAGTTGCCTTTACATTGTACCAGGTGCGAACGGGGTCTCTGCAAAGTCTGCCATCCTTGGGAAATTCATTTCTTATCAACCAGGAAGGCAAAGACTAGAAACTCCTTGTGAGGTAGAAAAAAGGGGCAGCTTTTAGTTGCAAAAGCTGCAAATACAGATTTTTGCTGTGGAGACTCAGCTGAGAAGGCAAGTTTTAAGATTTTCTCCATATTCCCAGAAGCAGAGACATAAGTGGATTCATTTGGTCTGTAGCTGAAGCTGGTGCAGGTGGCGTCCCCCCTTTCCGGGGAGAGATCAACTATCTCCTCTCATCAGCAAGTGATGACTGGAAAGGCAGAAGGGACGGAGAAGTAAGAAGGGATGTTCTGATCTGGAAGGCTTCCCCAGAGCTCAAAGTCAGGGCAGGTAGCAGCCCAAAATGTCTTTGGCCCAGGATGAAGCAGAGCTGTTTGCTCTATGGATAGGGGGAAGACTGGCCTRGGGAATCCTCCCAATGCTCCTTCTTTCAATGAAAATGCCAAAGGCAGCAGGAAGGCAGCAACATTACTAGTAACTAAATGGTGAGGAAAAAAAAAAAAAAAAACCCAAAATGCTCTTGCTGGGTCCCAAATGTCCCCATAAGAAGGCACAATCCTGCAAGGGCTTCTTTGCAGATACACAGAGCATGTCCATACACCAAGTATCAATTATACATAGCATTATATCACTTGAAGATGCACATGGTAGAGCTGGTTTTCTAGAAACCTGTTTTCTCTGGCTGGAACAATTCGCTGCTGGCTAAAGAGATGATCAAACTCACCTGAAGCAGAGGAGCCTTCAACCGTTCCTTTCAACAGCTGACTTGCATCAAGGTGATCATAGACTCATGGAATGGTTAAGGTTGGAAGGGACCTCTGGAGGTTATCTAGTCTAATCCTGCACATGCAGGGTCACCCAGAGCACGTGGTGCAGGATGAGATGTTGAGAACTCATTTGTAACCATGTTAGGGGCTCCAATAAAAATAACACAAGGGAAATCACCTGAGCTTTTCTCCTTTGGGTAAAGGCAGGKCTTCCATTGGTATTTCTCTGAAAAGATAGATGAAGGTTAGAAAATTCACCTTTGGGTAAAGGCAGGGCTTCCACCGGCATTTCTCTGAAAAGATAGGTGAAGGGCAGAAAATTCACCTGAAAACTTAGCTCAGGCTGCTTCATTCTCCCCCATCAACTACTCTCCAGCACATCCTGGTATCACGAGCTCTGTGCTCGCACCTGTGACTGAAACCTCACTGATTTTGCTGAGCAAAGAAATCCCGTGCAAGCAATGAAAGGACAGGTGAAGAATGGAATGAGGGTAAGGACTATCCAAAGCAGGGCTCAACCGCACTTACCCAGAGCCAACTTTGCTCTTTTTCCTCCTTGAAACTGCATCAATGTCTCCTGTGCCTTATCCCTGCTACAACAGGTACAAACACCAGACTGCAGAGCATTGACCAGCTCAAAAAACAGGCAACTGAAGATGCAGCCTTTCTTAAGAACTTCTTTATAACCAGAAAACCACTTATTTTATAACCAAAGGAATATSCTTTTACCAGCCAGACCTTGCAAGTTAATTCATACCCCCTAAATGGCTGGGAGAGATGAGGCTCATGATGCACTAAAGGCAGATGTGTTAAACAGGATCTTTATCATCCCACAGTGCCGGGAAGGAATCAATGACTGCATATAGTCCTAGTGCTGCCCTCTGTGTCTTCCTACCTCCTGGCTAGCACAGAGAATGAGGAAAACAAACTTGCATCTCTGGGGAAAGAGCAAGTTTTGCTCTAGGAGAAAATTGCCCAGGAGAAACCACAAAGCAAAACTACTTGAGTTTCCTTCTCTAGTTGGGTTCCTCGGGTTGCCTGGGTTGATTAAGCATTTTCAAGTTATCTGTTACAAAAATATCACATGGGAAATACACTGCTCAAAATGGAATTTAAGTGGTGGTATCTAGCAGCATATGTGTTTTGAGAGACAGACTCGTACGGGCTATCCTTTCATATTAGTGCATTTAACTTGTGTCTTGGTTACTGCATTTAACCCACATGTGTGGGGGGTTGTGCAGGAAGGGAAGGTTTCAACACGTGCTTGTGAAATGTAGGGACTGTGCAAGTGCTTCAGGAAAATATTCCTTACTATTACACTTGATAAAACTTGCACAGAACACTATGAATAAACTCACAAGGCTTCTAGCCCTTACATTACTACCTGAAATTAAATATTATGAAAGGCAGAGGCGATGTTTACAAGGATCTTTTTTACACCATGTGTTATTTTCCCCCACTCCATTCTACTTCAACCATCATTTATACAAAGAAAATGGTATGATGCCAAATCCCTGTACTTGCAAAGATAAGCACCACTGTTTCACCATTAACATTCAGGCTTATGGGTCCTGGGTTTAGAACACAAAACACTGGATTCACAAGCAAGAAGTGAGCAAAAATTCCATTCTCAGGGACATAAAAGCTTCAGACTACTAGAGTGGCATTAAGCCCCCTACAAGGTAACTAAACTGAACAGCGCCTTTTCAGTGATTTTTATTGTCTTCTAGTAGCTAAAGTGGATTAAGTACAAGGAACAGCTGGTATCTCCAGCCAGCAGAGAGAGGTTTCTGAACACCCCTTYGGTGAGGAAAGGATATGGACAAATGATTGAACCTGATTGAAAGTCAGGTGCATGCAGGCAAAAGCTGTATTTGCTTTACGAAACAAAGCAGGGTCCCTTCAAATAAATAGATCAAAATTCATCAGAATTGTGCTTTATTTTCCATCAACCATTTTATAGAGGCACTGTTTCTTTATAATATACTAGCAACCACAAAGGTATAAAACTATTAAGTTAGCATAGAGATGAAAAAATGCAAATTCAGAGGCTAGACAAGGTTTACAAATGTTGCATTTCYTTGAGTGAACTATGGAGCCAAGGGCAATGATACGTGCAATATCTGAGTATTTGGGGGGGGGGCAAGAAGGGAGGAGAAAGAATAATGAGTCATTTAAAGAAGAACACTTATGCACAAGACAATCCAGAGCAGATATGAAGGATGGGAAGGCCTTTCAAGCACACTTGGACCATCTGACTTAGTCTGCAATTTCAATATTTATTCAGTGGCTCCAGGAAACCACCCAGTTCTCCATCTACCTATTCCATCCTCTTCCCCCCATTTCCTCAGATTATATTTTCCAAGGCTGAAAGGCATCAAGGGCAAATTATAAGAGYTCCACCAAGGAACAGCAATTTAAAACCAGCTTTGGCTTCAAGAAGGAGTTGTCTCTCAGGTGCATGAGACGTGTGTTGGTCATGCAAGAAGCCATGATTAATGGTTTGGCTTGGGCTTCACGGAGAAAGTTTGGGGATTTGGGTGGCTGGGGAGRGACTTCATGCAGTTGGAGCAAGGCAGTTTGAAACCAAACCCCAAGGCTCTCCTTGCGGGCCAAAGTAGTGGCACCGACAGTCGGGCCACATTGATACCAACACCTGCCTCTTCTTTGACCACCCCACAACATGGCACCCCCGGCCTGCCTGGTGGGGAGGTGGCCAGGAGGACGTTCCCACCCGCCTGGGGCACCAACATGAAAACGGATCATTTGAAAAAAAAGAAAGAAAAAAAGCCTTAATAGCAGCGCAGAACTCCACAAGAGGGACTTTAACGAGTACACCAGGCTGCTACGCACTGGCTGCACGTTGCCGCCCGGCGCGTGCGCAGCGTGAGGAGGCGCAGGAGGAGGAGAAGGAGGAGGAGGAAGAGGCGGCTGCGGCCGAGCCCTGCCGCTGCCCGCGCCATGTCGGAGCGGCTCGGCAAGCCCACCTGCCTCATTGTGGCCAGCGCTGCCGCTGCAGGTGAGAGGTGCCTGCCATGTGCTGCGGGCCCCTTCCGTGCGGCTCCATGAACGCGGCGCCCGCCATCCTCGGGCCCCACCGGTGCCGCCACAGGCCTGCCTGGCTGTGCTGTCTGTGCCTCCCTCCTGCTCGGACGGTTCCACACGTGTGGAGACATGTGGGCGCTCTCTGCACACAGCCACGGCGTGCGGAAACGCAGCGGTAACCAGGGCCGCAAATTCCTTGCGTTCACAAACAGCCCTCTGAAATTCCTGGGAGCTCTGAAAACAAGGAAAAAACCAAGCCCTCAGCCTGGCTGGGTGTGATTTTTCTGGTGTTTTTTTTTCTTTCTTTCTTTTTTTTTTTTTTTTCCTTCAGTTGGAAATGCAGAGGCTCTGTGCTAAAATTGTGCTTTCTCCTGCAGGGGTGTCAGCCCAGTCCTTCCTTCATTGCTTCACACTGACCAGTACTGCTTTTAACCTGCAAGTTGCAACCCCGGGGGTAAGTACGAATGGGATATTACTGTGATTTACCTCAGTTAGCAGCCTGTTGATCAAAGAAGCTTTATGCTAACTATTTTGGAGAGATGTTTTTTCTTTACCAATTAAGGCATTTTTTTAAAAAAAGTTTTTCTTTATATTGAAATTAAGATGTGCTTCTCATGGTTCTGAACTTCACTGTCCGGTATGTCTTTCTCCTCAAAGCAAAGACTTGAAGAACATCCTCAGTAGGAAAAAGAAAAAAAGGAAAAMCTTAGTATTTTGATATCTACAGTCTCACAAAATCTTACCTGCTCATCCTAGAAACAAAACAGGTCTCGATAGTATATGTAGCATAAATAAATAAATATACTAACAACAGGCTTTGAAACATGTTTCTGCTAGGGGAAATCAATTGATTTTGTGGATGTGAATGAAAACAACATGCGTTGGATCCAAGACTTCCGCATGAAATCATATGCCAGCCCTGCCAAATTGGAGTCAATCGATGGTAAGGGTCCCCCAAATTGTCATCTCCATTTGTCATCCCCATTTATTAGGGAAGCAGATGCTTCTCAATGTTAAGATACAGAAAAGAAATGCAACTTGTGTTTTAAGACTGGCTCTGACAGCTACGGCTTTTTTTTTTTTCTGCTTTTTTATAAATCTATTGTTGAATGACAAATACATTATGCTGTTACATTTTGGAAACGCACTAATGTTTTTCTAAAGAAGGAGCCAGCAAGCACAACAGTTTTAAACTCTGTCTTGACTAGACTCTCATTGGAAATGTGTGTTCTCTGTCTTCAGTAACTCTTTACCTTGCATAGATCTGGTTTCTTTAGTTCATTAAGTGTCTAGTGTTTGACTGAGCTCTGTGGTAGTGTCATCATTTTGTCAAGTCTCAAATGGCTCATTTTGATTGTTATTTGCCTGACAATTTGTTTCTCCTTTTTTTCTTTCTAGGTGCTAGATATCATGCTCTGTTGATCCCTAGCTGTCCTGGGGCTATGACTGACCTTGCAAACAGTGGATACCTAGCTAGAATATTGCAGCACTTCAGCACTGAGAACAGTGGGTGAACACTCTTAGATACTTGTGTTGAATAAAATATTCCGTAACTGTTATGCAAAACTGTTACCTCTCTGTAACTGCTTTTTACCTTGCAGTAGCTACTTTTAGGTATAGTCATAGAAGTCTCAAAGATTTAAAAAAATTGAAGAATTTTGCAGTGTGCAGAACTGGAAACATCTTCTCTGGATAAACCYGTGCTCTCTGTAAAATTAGGATCCTCTTTACATGAATAATACTAGAATATTTTTGAGTACATTTGTAAGAAGGGATTTCTCTGCCTTATGCTGATACAGTAGTTACTCTCTTCAGTTCAAATAGGAACTGAATTTCAGGCACAAATACAGAAACCTCACATAGGTCCTAATCAAGACTTGTGTCAGTTCAGTTGTCATTTGTCCATGTGCATTCACGTTGGGCTAATGGGCTTTTAACCAGCAGTAACTCTTTACAAGACTGGGGAAATGCTTAATGCAGTGTGCAGAAAAGAGCACTACACCCTAAGAGGGTGTAAACAGAATGGTGTAGGTTTTTTCAGGTAGGCAATACAATGTGACATGAGGAATCTTGTTTTAGCTTGGTTTAAAGATCTGAAATGCACTTTTTTTTTTTTTTTTTTGAATATATAGAACCTATCTGTGCAGTTGGGCACGGAGTTGCAGCTTTGTGTTGTGCCACCAATGAGGATAAATCCTGGGTGTTTCAGGAATACAGCCTGACAGGGGTAGGTAATTTCTGCTGTTGTGATTTTTTTCTGCAATAGATTATCAGTTTGGTACCTGGGACTTACACTCAAATCTTTACAAACTGGCTTCTAACCCAAAATGTGAGTAGATACAATTGATATTTTGTTAATATTCTGTTTAATAGAACTGTCATATCTCTGACCTCATGGTCTACTGCATTTATATGGAACCTACACCTGCTCACCAAGGTAGAACAGACTAATACAGTACAACTTTCAGATCTGAGAATTTACTCACAAAGTTAGGAAATGAAGTTGGGGACACTCAAAAGCATGCAGAGTCCTGGTGTGCTTATGATTGGTATTGCAACCTGTGATAACATTTTTATAGTAAGATGCATGGTATGGCCTATTTTTAGTTGCTGTGGAAACCATAAAATTCCAGTTTCTTCTTTGCATGTGAAAACTGAACTATTACATTGAAAAAAAGTCATTAATTTTTCCCTCTTGGTGAAAGTGCAGGCCTATTTAGGTGCTGGACTTTGAAATGTATGTGACAGCATTTGTATCCAAACGTGCATTTCAGGAGGAGTTTTTAGTCCAATATTTTCCCTTTAGTAACACAATGGAGTACTTTAAAAATGTACAATAGGGCTATGTTTTTAATTCTTCTTTTTCCTTCTGTTTTAAAATAGTCTGTGTGGTTAGATTAGCAAATGCAACAGTGAGAACATCCAGCTGCAGGAACACTTTACCGGGGCACTGATCTGGAAAGAGAAATTGAATGCTTGATATGTAAATGTAGTGCCCCCCAGCAGCCTCTCCATGCTGTGCTCAATCTCAGCAAAGCAGTGAAGTCTTCTAAGCTCCTTGTGAAAACTCAGCTATGATTCTGTCTGTTCTGTGGRTACAAGATGTTGTTTCCTCTCTACAGTGGTAATTACATGGGATTGAATTCGGATGGTAGCCAGGAGCTTTATATTCCCTGTGCTCTGTAGCGCAGAAAACATATTTTAAAAGAATCTATTCACTTGGAAATGTAATTAAGTGGAATTATAAATACAGTTTGTGCAGCGTGATGTTGTTARTCCCTGGAAAGCTTTCCAGTTCAGGGAAGAGAGAATTGCAGACGTGACGCCCATTAGGGATGCTGCTTAGTCATGCTACTTAAATAGGAAACATGTGAATGTTGAGGACACAAAATGCAAATATCTTCTGTGGTGTGAATTCAGGAACGCTTCCTTCCCTTGATGCCCCAAATACACTTGGTCTTGGTCATGGCCTTTCTGTCTCTTTTTTTGGGCTCACATATGAATTTTCAAGTTGCTCCTTACAGGTGTACATAGATGACACTTCMTTTCATTCTTTTTCAGCCCTCTGTGTATGAGCTAATAAGGCAGCCTAATTTTGCCAGTTTGCCCATTATCGTGGAGGATTTTGTGAAAGATTCTGGAGCTACATACAGTGGTAGGTAACAGTTGTCTTTGTAGCTGAGTGCTGAAGATGGATGTTGTTTTTACACAAATGTACAGGATTCTGACAGGATTCTCTTGTCCTGYATTCTCATTTCACAAGTGTAAACCAAAGCCTAGTAGATTCAGTGTCTATGAATGCTCTTTTACCCCAGGGTAAACAGGAATTGGTGCATCCTGCAGTAAGGAGGAACGTGCACTGCAGGGAAGAGCATGTGCAGGAGTTGYTGTGGATCTGCTGATTCACAGTGACTTGTCATTGTCTCCATTCCTGCAGGGAATTACACCTGTCTATGTAGTCCCTTGTCCCCTGGCAGGGAGCAGGTTAACTGCTAAATGTGGGGATTGTTTTTTGTTCAGATAAATGTGGCTTGTCATTTCAAGTTGGAGGTGGTATGAACAATTTTGGCTTTGATTAATTGCTTAATAGCTGGGAATAAAGTACTTCGATGGCAAATCTGGTTTTACATTTTTTTTTTTTTTTTTATCAAGCACTAAGCGGACATTGTTAATAGTCACAAATGTTAACAGTTTGACTGTCAAATTGTATAGCCTTAGGTTCTGCAGTGTGAGAGACACTAAATCCCTCAGAATACTGAAATATTGCTTTTTGATGAGAGTAATAAGGTGCCCATGGTATTTAAACCATTAATTCTTGGCTTAATACACTAGTGCCACACAATAAACTGATGCTGTGTGAAATGGCACATGGAAGTCAGGCTATTAAGGCCACGCATGTATCTTCTCTTAAAAGAAATGCTGTTTTCATATCAAAGTGCTGCATATTCTCTGTTGTGTTCTCTTCCAGCCCTGTACTATCAGCATGTCTAAATGGCAGTGATTAAATGGCATCTTTGTGCTTTTTGACTGAGCTGCTGCTACCTCCTTCTGCATAACTGGCACAGTAAAGATAGTTAAAAAGCTAATGTCACGCTTGCTGGTAGTTGCTACATCATATATTTGAAACAGGGGATATTTGAAACAGTTACCTTATATATTAGAGTTCCATCAGAGACATGATGACTGAAACTGCAAAATAAGTATCTACTCTCACAGTATTTGATGCTTTTTGTTCTTTTTATTCCTGTATTTAGCCAGCAAGCCGGATGCTGTGCATGTAGTACTGGACAGGCACCTGGTGACAGGACAGAATGAGAATTCCACGGTTCTTTCGGTCCAAAACCTTATTCTTCTTTGCAACAGCAGGTGAGGCTACAAGGGAGTAAGTACTTAAAATAGATATGGTTGCTAAGCATCTTTTAATTTTAGGGATATTGTCACCAGAAGAAAGTTTTCCCTGGTTTTGCTGGTGAACACATGTTTTTGTTTGATGCAGCTGTTCAGTCTGTTAAGTTTTTGATAAAAAGCATTTGTGATTGTCTAGCAAAATAAAAAGTACGGGGTTGGAAAGGCACAGCTGTTTTTTTATAAGGCTGTTGAAATAAAATGTAGAACAGGTTCCACTAAATATTTCTATTAAGAGGAGCATCTCCTGTGTAATTCCTCATGGTTTGGCAAGTTAAGATTTAGTCAGCTACGTGTTAGGATTGTGGGAATGACCAGGTTTTGTTTCTTTGGTAACAGCGTGCTGGTTTGGTTGTCTTTCATTTTGTCAAACAGAAGAACAAAYGTAAATAACAATAATAAATCTTTTTTTGTTAAGGTGAACCTTTTTAGAAGTCCTTTCCTGGCTGTGGACTAACAGGTCATGTCACGTTTGGATGCATTTCATTCTTCAGGAGAGGAAAGAGCAGGTCTCTGCAGCTAGGATGGAGGAAGAGTCGGCACACTAAGGCTTTTCATATCTGCTAGCTRGATTTAAGCAGCTTTGTTTACATTTCTGGCATGGCCTGTGAAATGACTGTGACAGTGAAGCTGCAGTGCCAGGTTTTGCAAATATAGAGTGGATGAAGGTTGTAAATAAGAAAACTTCAAAGTTCATCATACCCCTGATGTGATGATGAATCCCTCTTGAATTTTTGTTACTACATTTCTTTTTCACTGCATCCCTGTCTCCGCCCTTAAAAACTTTGAGCTCTGTTTGTGACTCATGTGGAGGTTGCACATCAAGTACAAAAATCTGTACTTAATCCTACAGGGACCTGCAAGTTGAGGTCTGTTCTTACCCACCTTTTGGTGCGTCACAGAGTTACCATCTGACTCCGTATGTGTTTCAAACAATTGGGTATGGAATGTGATGGAAAATGCACAGTAAACATTGTCTGAATAAAGCAGAACCTGACTGTTTGAATGCAGTTCACTGTAGTGATGCTCTTGGCATAATGTGTTTCTTTCCTTGTGTGTTCACATTAATGCACTTCTATTTAAAAAATAACAATGATGCATTTGCTCAACTGATTTTAAACGGTCTTAAAATTGCTTATTTGTTCTGCTCTCTTGTAGTGCACATGTTACAACTGTAATTCTGTTCGATGTGTTCAAAATACTTGTCTCTGACAAACAGCAGTTGTCTCCTGTTGGAATTTTGTGGAAAATGTTACATAGTTAATGTGTAACAAATAGATCAGCCGAGAAACCAATTTTAAGAATGAAATCTAATCRACTTTTTCTGACTGGAATATGAACAGGGAAAAGGATCATCAGATCAAAAATACTGCAGGTGTAAACATAATGAAGCTGTAGKAAAGTACATGAAATTAAGGGCCCTGGGGGTACGTGCAATTTATGTGCCTCCTAAGCTAAAGGGAGCTTTGCCACACATGGACAAAGTCCTGGCTGCAGCTACAAAGGGCAGTCTCCTTCCTGAAGGAGGAATCTGAGAGGCTGCAGGTCACACGGTGTTTCCTTGTGGTTTTGTGATGATCAATAGGCCACTTAGGACATACCTRGAAAAATCTAGTTACTTGTATCTACTGTGTGCCCAGGTTTCCTTCCTTGGTTGTGAAATTCTATCCAGGTCTCTTCCAGAAGCTGTCAGATGAATTTAAAAGCATTAAGACAAGTATAGGCTTTGATCTAAATCCTTATTCTGCCACTGGCCTTTATCTTGTTCCAGACAGTACCAATTGGGATTGTTATGTTTGTAATTTGAGGAAGTTCAGTGCTGTACAAAGCATGTTGCCTTTTGATTTTTGCAGCACTTCCTCACTCAAACCCTACARGAGCAGATAAAAGACCTTTATTTTTTTTTTCCCCTATCAGATGTCCACTTTTTCATCTTCTTAGTAATCTAAACAGTACCTAGTGTTGCCATTGAAAAACAGAGAGGAAGAATTGCATGAGCTGTCAGCAAGCAGCCAGAAAGATGGGGTGTGCATGAGCCCATCTACCAATGTTAATGGGGGACTATGGCAAGGATGCTGGATGTGCTCTAGCTTCTTGTGACAGGCCAAGCAGGTGACTTTCATAAGGCAAACCCCTTTTGTAAAAGGGAGGTAGGCTGTTTCCCAGCCTGGTAAGTCTCTTTCCTCCACAAAAATGTCATGCAACTCAATGGTGACTTTTTAAAACTCCTGTTTATTTTGAAGCTAGGTAAAAGCAGCAGAATTGAAGCAAAAGCCTCTAAAGAGCAGTGGCCTAGTTGGTTTGGAGTGCTTTCTGGGTCACTAATGGTGCTTCTGTCACCTTGTAATTCAACCTTTGAGTGCAAACCCTATCCGCAGCAATTTCTTACATCAAGGGATGATAAATTCATCTATAATTCACCCTCATTCATGCTGATCTTTAGCTTAATTTGATTTTGAAAGGCCTATGCTTATGATCCATTGGGTTGTAAGGGTTAAAAATCACCTATTGATGACTTGACCTGGTGGGAGACTAGAGACAATACTGGGATTCCTTCCAACATACCAACTCTTGACAGACTTGTATTCTGTGATTCTGTGACACATCACACATTTTGTGGTGTGATATTTCCCCTGCCTCCCAAACAGCGTGTATGAAGCAACTGGAGTTTAGCARCTCTCAATACTGCAGCGAGAACCACCTTTTATCAACGCTTGCAAATACATCGTGTCTTTGTAATCAGCTCTTTATGGAGGATTCTGACATTTAAACCAYGTGGAAGATCCTTTTGTTCTAAAGGCAAAAGCAGCTTCTCAAACAAATTGAGAGCTTCAGATGCTGGAGATTTTAAACCCACGGCTGTTCAAACGCTGGTGGCACAATGTTCCCTGGGCTAGTTCCCTGGCTAGCTGTGTTGATCCCTGCTTTATATTCTTGAAAGAACAATTTTTTTTTTTTTTGATGAAAGACTATTGGCATGACATGGAATTTGCTGCACCATGAAGGGATAAGGCTTTATATAAAGGTATAGGATGGAGTTCCTTGGTGACATATCTACCATGTCCCAGAGGGGAACATGTGTGTGTTTCAGGGGAGGGATACGAGATGTGCTCTTGGCTGCAAGTCAACATGTCTGTGAAACTCTGTGCATCCATGAACTATCTGTGCATCCCTAGGGTAGATTAACTGGAGAGAATGCAGGGAGGAGGGCATGTTTRATACTTGGAAAACACCCACGTGGGGAAAGAGAGAAGAGCAGCTTCCATGTCCAGTTTRCTGTATCCATAGCTCACAAACACCTCCCAAAGACAATAGGATAAAAAAACAAGAGCAATAAAGTGCCTGAGAAATAGCACTGGCTACAGCTAAGAGCTGTACAGCTTGTCTTCTAAAACCACATCTTTGGCTGCCTTTAAATTCAAGCAACTGCAAAGAGAAGCAGAGGAGTGACAGTGGAKAGGCTGCTGTTACTCCCTTGTCTTTCACCTTTGCATACCCTTCAACAGCAGCTGCCAGCATAAACTCAGGCCTCAGTCTGCTAGGCTGAGAGAAAAACTATCTTTCAAGGACCCCGCAAGCTTTGGCTTAGCATGTCCTGCCTCTGCCACAGAAATTTGGTGGCTGCATGACCAAGTGAGCACTGGTCATGTCACTTCTGGCCAAGATGCCCACCTGTAGCCGCTTGCTGCTGCTGGCACCATGGGAAGGCCCTTGTTTCAGCTCCAGTCATTTGCATTCAGTCTTGGAGACACTGCAGCACTGCAGGAGGCATCAAACAAAGGGACAAAAGGACCCAAAAGTAGATGATATCTGCTACTGAGCAAGGAGATGGGCAAAGCTCTCTGCTCTCTGTATGCCATAACTCACCCAAATCCAAAAAAACAGGCAACAAAAGTAAAGCAGCTTGGATCATGCATTTCTCTACTCCTTCCATGCTCAGGCAGATGCAGTCGGTTTCCCCTTCAGCATCAGCCCTGCTTTAGTCCAGTCCCTTGGCTTGTGCTCTTTTCTGCAATCTAAAGGCAAGCTATGTAAGGAGAGCATTAATTTTTTTTTTTTTGCAGGTATATTCCTTGTTTAGAAGGGAAATGCTTTCCTGACTTTTCTGACACTATCTGTTCTTAAGGTGACCAGAAATGGGATATTTTAGTTCATCTCTACAGATAAACTAGTGATATTCTGCCCTGGGACCAAATGCTGAAAATAAGTGCATTGACTCACTGTGCCCCATCCATGTACACTAGCAGCTCTTTTCCCAACAGCTCCACTCTCCTGTACCTCTCTGCCTGTACCCTTGTTTCAAGAATGCACTTGAGTGAAGAAGAGTAGAGAGCAATCAGTTAGGGGCAGCACCATGTATCCCTCAGTCCTGGGATGCAAGAGGAAGCTGAAAGGACCAGGGAACACAAGGCTAAATCAATACCTTACATTTCATCTCACGAGTTAGTTGCTGCTCTCTATATCCTGAAAAATGGAAAGGAAGAGCTGCCTTTCCAGAGATGTCGCAGCCTTTCCAGAGATGTCGCAGCCTTCCCAAGAGATGGTGGCACTGCTCTACGCAGACCTTCACGTTCCCTCTTAGACCCTGGAGTGAAGCAAGAATGTGTAGGTCAGACTGCAGAACTGCCTTCCGTTATACTGAAATAAGAATGGAGCCACATGATGGGCTTTGACAGCCCTCACCCTGACGAGATGGTGGCAACCAAACACACAGGAGCCTGGCAGGGTCYTCTGCCATTGCTGATTTCCCACGTGGCGTTCACAGATGCAGTGCTGCCCCCCTCCTCAGCGAGCACCCATGTGCACAGCTCAGAGGGAGGACCCAGGACCTGCACATCACATATCCTGCAGAAGGTCAAGAAAAYGCAGTAGATGACGACGAGGATCAGGGCATGGTCACAGCAGAGCTAGATTCCTGCAGAGAGAGAGAAAAACAGGTAACTACCACTGGGATAGACTCTTGAACTGCTTCCTGATTCTTTGCTTTGGAGGTAGCAGAGTGTCTCTATGCATTTTTTCTAGCAACAGAACATTTGCTTTTCAGCCTATAATTTATGTATCATTTTTCTAGAGTTTCCAGGCTGCTGTTATAAAGCCCAGGAGCCCTGGAGAGARCAGCTATAAAAGGTGGCATGTGACCTTATCCAGGAAGCAGCAGTGCCTGTGGTCACCTTAGATCAGACACCAATTTCCCRGGGAGGGAAACACCATCAAAACACAACCTGCCTGATGCCACAAAACTTGAGAGAGCAGAAGAGGCAGAGGCCTAAAGGGCTGCCAAAACTGTTGAAGAGTTAACAGCATGCACATACACACAAAGTTAGGGATTCTTAGGCCCTTGGATACTTGAGGGAACAAAAACTCCTGTTGCCCTTGAAGACATTTGGGGCAGATCCTGTGTTTTCTGATAGCTGGCTCAGGTGCACAGCCTGTTAGTTCTCCCTGGTCTTAGGCAGAGCATCCTGCAAGGAGCTGCAGTCATCACCTTGCTCTTGCACTGGCAGCTACCACTGTATAAAGGAGACCTCTTCCTGTGGCAGGAGGCTGATCCTTTTGCCATTGTTTGGGGTCAGTTTGAGGAATGCAGGTCTTCTGGTCCCAAAGGAACACTCTTCCACAGGCTTTTTCACTGGAAAGAAAAGGGGTAAAAGCAGAGAGCTCAAAAAACTGACATTCACATCAGTCTTTTAAACTCTGCTTTGTGGACTAGGGGACATCTAGACACCAGGTGCCTCAAAAGAGGGGACTGGTTGTGATGAGCATCCCTTGGGCAGCTACCGGGTACTGATTTGCTGGCCAAGCAAAGCTGCATTTAGCCAACTGTGCTGGGTCAAAGGAGCTACCTGAGTAGCAGCATCTGCAGAGAACCATTTCCCTGTCCTGTGCAAGGTGTAGGTCACAGCCATCTGAAACGGGATGTCGGTGGCATTATCCTTGTAGGGAAAAACCACCTCCCGGGAACAGCAGCAGCTAGAGAACCTGAGGCAACACATGAGGAAACCCAAAAAGACCCTGTGATTCAACCTTTTTCTTTAAAATGAGTGTGCGTTTCACCTCCAGGTTCCTGAGCCATGCACAGAGCTGGCTGGGCTAGAGGAAAAACATAAATCTTATTTCCTTGCGGTCTCCTCTGCCCCATCCCTTTTGGTGGTCATCCAAATCTTACCTGTTGCTGAGTTGAAGATGTCTGGTGTTGCTGCATGCAGGTTAATGGAGGTCCTATGACCTGACCTGCATTACTAAGGATAAAAATGAAGATAAACTTCGCTCTGTGGCTCCTTTGTTAAACAACAGAAAGGTGCTTCTGACAAATGAAAATGTGATAATCGGTGKTTTTTTTTCCTTCATTTTTGTTTTTATTTTATCTTCCACCTAGCAAGTGGCCTGTATGTGGTCTCCAGCTGATCACAGCCTTAAATTCAGCTCTTCGCAGAGCTGATACAGGGTGGATTTCCGAGGCCCTCACAGCAGCATCTCAATCCATCCTCTCTTGCAGTTGCCAGGAAGCGCCTGGGGCCATGTGCTATTCATTAACAGCCAATTTGCTTGCAGGACCAGGAGAGGAAATGCCTGTTTATGGCAGGGATGCTATGCATGCCTTGCCAAGGCACCTTCTGGAAGCAGTTATTTGGAAGGGCTGTATTATCCAACTGCTTTAAGTAATGACTGTGCTAGCGTGAGCTGGCAGCTCTGCAGGCTCCTGTCCATGAAACTACACAAAGGGATGTTACTGGTACAAGAAACAGCCCCAAGCACCTGAACCAATGATAATTTACCTGCCTTTTGGACAGGTCCTTGGAAACTGTCCTGTTTCCTATCCTTGGAAAAAAGTGTCTGCCAGAGCTTCTGTGACACCTTACACATACCCTGACACTGCTGCTCTCTGCAGAATTAAATGCAGGTATGTCTGTAGGAAATCAGTGTAACATTGACACTCATTGGATTGCTCTTACTGTTCTTGCAACACCTGTGAAAGGGAGCAATAGTTGATACCCCAGAAGGTGCTGGAGCCTAGAGGGTTAGTGGAGGAACAGCAGGTTTTGCCTCTCCCGAGGCCACAGGAATTTGCTGCACTGTGAGGGTACCTCACATCTGGGTGTTTGGAAGAGATGCTACAGGCATGAGCAGGTCAGGCCTAAAACAACTCCCAGGTCCTTGCAAATAAATTGGCATTAAGTGCTTGTCTTGACAAGAGACAGCTTGTCTTGTATTAAGCTCTGTATGAGCCAACTATCTAGGTGAAGTCATACTAATCATCTTGGAGAGCTTGATCTCCTGTCTGCAAGGGACTGCAAGGAATGACTCCCAATTTTTCTCAGGGAAAGATAAAAGGCAACTACAGTCTTGTCATATTTTGCCACTTTACAGATGGGTCTCCAGACCTGCCTCTTAAGAATATGGAAATATTTGAGGTTTTCCTCTATCATTAAGAGGAGAGACCCATCTTCTAGCATGCTGAATGCCACGTTATTCATTATTTGCCAGATGAGGTAGGCTGGCTGTATGGGTAACAGCTTTGTGTGGCTGAGGAATCYCATCCTACCTAGTAATCTGGTCTGTCAATTAAGAAGGATTATTGTAATAACAGTTATCAGAAGGCACATTTAAGTGACTGCTTAAGGCATGTGTTACCTTTCAGAAGATGTCTTCAATTGTTCTGGCTTCACTGGGCTCAGTAGCCTGTCGTGTCTCAAACTGTTGTCTCCACTGTGGTGATCTGCAGCTTTGAGGGGCTCTGGGAAGTTTAATTCTTGACTGGATGGAAGCCTCATTCTCTCGCCTGAGGAAATGGTGACTTTTTATAGGAGTCAACAGCTGGAACCAAACTTGCCTATTTGTGATCTGCTATGAAGCTAGAACTCTTCTCATCTCATGCTCTGGAGCTGAAATTAGGAAAAAAGACTGAGAAAACTAAAGCTGAAGCAGAGAGCCTTACCAGCTTGAACAACTCTGCTCTCTTTTAGGTCCAGCTTCCTCTTCAACATAAGCTAAAATACTCTATTGGTTTTTAATTATCATGAGGGCCTAAATCATCACACTGGCTCGTGACATTCATGAATGCACTGGCAGGTGAGATCACTGTATTATATATTGAAGARAGGTGTGGGCAGGATAAAGGTTTTAATGCCAGCTTGACCTTTTAAAGCAGAAGACTTCCCCTTCCCTCCCTTCTCTTAAGCACCTGCTTTCTGCAGCTTTCCTGTCCATGTCATTCCCCTGTAGAGRAACACTAGGAAGTGCAACACAATGGGTAGATTTTTGAAGCAGCTCCTGTCAGGCCTGTGAGAAATGAAGATACAATAATATTCTAGCAGTCCTGCACTTATACTCCTCGATTTTAGCACATATCACAGGAGAATTTCACCTACCTGTACTAGAAAGTAACTAATTTCAAGGTTTTACATTTCAAGTAATGCCAACATTACTAAGCTGTTTCCCTGACTTATTTTTCTTGTATTATGTGAGCTTGAGTGATAAATACATAGCCTAAAAACCTAAACATTTAGGAGGCTAAAGTCAGACAGCTTCATCAGGAAATAAGTAATTGTGTCATATAAACAGAACCTTTTATCTACTCTTGACAAAATTGGACCTATTATGAGACAGATTTAATTAGTGCTAATCAAATGCAGCACAAAAGGCAAGTGGATGCTTCCCTATAGAAACTCAAGGAATTGACATCATGATTAGGTCATTCCTCAGGGTGAGACTGCCCCACAGCTTAAGCTTCCCCTTTTTGGGAAGGAATAAGCTCAAAGAGAAAAGGCAGGGGCAGGTGGGGAGGGTAATACAGAGTTTTAAAAGGGAACTTGGTTGATATGGAGGAGTTGGCAGCATTTATGACTGTGCCTTAAAGCAACACAGCAACTTGTTCCAAGAAAAGACCCAAAGCTGTAGCTATCCTGAATCATATTCACATGCTCATTCCAGCATCTCAGGAATAACAACTCTCAGTTATTAATCAACTGCTTTAGAGGCCGTTTCCTAATTCTGTAATGCACTGGCATTACATATARTGAAATGATCACATTACAAGAAAAATGTGTTAATTTGAGTGTATTGACAAGAGTACCACAAAAATTGATTTTTTTTGTCCCTTTGCAAACTGATTAAAAAAAGCATAATACAGAAATCTATCAATATATAGCATAAGACTTTTACAGGTAAGACATTTGTACATCCACTTAATTTCAAATGATCCACTCATTCAGTTGTGACCAGCCAGGAAAATGATGATTTGCTTATTTTCCATTTTCAGCACTGAACATTCGCTCCTAGAAAAAACAAGGGAACAAACTGCAGTTTAGCAAGTGTTTGGGAAGTGCACACTGCTTTAATAACACAGGCTTTAGTCCATATAAGAAGCTGCCAGTCAGTCTGGTTGTCAGGTGATCTTTATAGTTGCATTTTTAATTTCTAATAACATTTTAAAATTAATTACATGTTAAAAACTCTCCTATATTGTCAGGAAACTTTCCCAAGGCCTCTTTAAACTCAACTCTGTTCTTGGTGCCCTCTACAACGAGGTTTATCTGCAGCTCACTATCTGCAGATTATTAGCTTTGTCTCAGATCACTGCTGAGAAGCAAATATGTTTAGAACTAGACCTAAAGGTCTTTTCATTTACACAAAAGTGTTCTCTCAAGTAGCTGCCTTTTAAATACTGCCTTGGGCTTCCTTCAGGTGTCTGTACCTGCCTGGCAGAGATTCCTTGTTGACCTGCAGTAAGGCAGAGCTTATTTTCAAGTAAGAGTACTGCTTTAAATGCAGACACCAACAATGTTCTAAGGGGTCACTTTTGCTGCTTGTTGTTAACACTATTCAGGTTTCTGGTCTTACTTCAGCTAACACACAGCTGCTTATTTGGAGAAATCCAAGAGACAAAAAGATGCAGCACAATAAAGCACCTACCTTTAACATTTGCTCCAGTTTAACTGCATCAGCAGCAAATTTTCTGATCCCATCTGACAGCTTCTCCACGGCCATTTGGTCTTCATTGTGGTGCCAGCGGAATGTTTTCTCATCCAAGTGGATCTTCTCAAGATCACAAGCCTGAGCTGTAAAAGGAGAAAGATGAACAAAGTTATTATCAGCTTGGTATTACATACCACAGATTTCCTAAAAATGTCAAGTCTCAACTATTTTTAAGAGGAAAATTCTGAAAGCCACTTTCAACATGACTTGCTTTATCAGTACCTTTTCRGATGCCAAAGTGAAGGTGCTCTTGCTCTTTACTATTACCTTAATATGTTAAGAAAACCAGATATTCAGTTTCTCCTAAAATACAGTTTTCACATATATGCATTATACTGTATCTGCTTCTCAATGGTACAATAGTGTCAGGCTCACTGCCAAGAAGGAGGCAATGAGACAATCTAAGCAAACATGCTCMACAATCAGGTCTTTGATTATTTGGCAAGTGCTAACAAAAGCCTCATTGATAAGATGCCTACCAGCTATCTAGCACACTATATGCTGCAACCATAGCTGCAGCTGTGCAGGAATCTGCAGTAAAATCCTAGTAAGACTACGGAAAGGCAAATACGGTGCAGTGGGAATACATATCCTAAACCATCACAATGGAGTATCACTAGAAAAAAATCACTTAAGTCTTGTATATGACTCATTTCTACAGTTTTGGGGCACAGGTCTCTTTACACATACAGGGCTAACAGAATAGTCACTAATGCACTGTTAGCAATGATTAAAGTAAGTCCCAGGGATATGGAGCATAAAATTACTTCTGCTCTCCCCATTTTCTGGGGTGAAAAGACAACCCCCTGGGGGGATGTTATTTAAACACACTCAAAAATCTCAATTCTGGAGAGTGTGCTCATTAGAAACCAATACTGTAAGAAAAAGACTACGTAAGCAACTAAGTAAGCAACTGCACTACATCTATAATGAAACTAACATCCTTTTTATAGGGGTCCAAGCTTTATCTTAAAACATAATGGAAGCAGACAGCATAGAAGGGACTACACATTGTTGGTSATCAGTATTAGAGGGAAACTAAACAAGTCTATATTTCTTAAAAACTCAACTTACCATCTTTAACACTGAGTGCAGGAGTTAACTTGACATATTCTTTGCTGAGCTCTGCCAAGAGCTTGGGTGAAATGGTGAGATAGTCACAACCTGCAAGTGCTTTTATTTCTCCTGTATTTCGAAATGAAGCACCCATCACAATAGTTTTGTAGCCAAACTTTTTGTAGTAATTATAGATCTTAGTGACACTCTTCACACCTAGAGGAGAAAGTTTCAGGAGGAGGGTTTCAGAGGAACTCACTGGGAGCTCAAAGATCACTCCTAATGCAAACACTGCCATGTGTTTCCTAAGAGGATTTCCAAAAGCAGCTTGCAGTTGGAATGAGTAGGTCATGTGGTTTTAGTAACGTGTTCAAGGCAACTTTACCTGGATCCTCTGAGGGCTCGTAGGCTTTCTTATCCCCATTTGCAACATACCAGTCCAGGATACGTCCTACAAATGGGGATATCAGAGTAACACCAGCTTCAGCACAGGCAACTGCCTGAGCAAAGGAGAACAACAAGGTCATGTTGCAGTGAATCCCATACTCCTCTTCCAGAACCCTGTGGAAAAAGACTGTTTTGAAGCGGTGATTTTTACCTCATCTACTGACTTTGCAGTCTCAGAATAAAGCAGTAGGTTAAGCTACTGAAGTTCTTGACTTAAAACATTTACAAGAGTGCTACAGTGCATAAGCTTTCCACTTGTTTGACTATATGTACAACAGTCTGAAACTTAGGGTCTGCTAGTGCAGAACAAGTGACCTGTTCAGTGCTGTTCCTTGCACAAAATGCAGGCCACTCAACATCCTATCTCAGGAAATCCTTTCAGCAAGTCTGACCCTCACAGGAACAAACTTTCCTTCTTTCAACTAAAAGCTCTTGTTTAGCTCTCGTTTAGTTTGTTACCTGTAGCCCTAGTAACAGATTTCCTGGAGCAATGTTTGCAAAAAGAGACAATTGTTTAAATGTAAAACACATGTCAAATGCCTGTAAACTGTCAAAACAGGCCATGAACCAGTGTGCCAGGTACCAAAATACTTACTTGCCAGCCTGGATCCCTTCCCACGTGGATGAGAGCTTTATGAGAATACGATCTTTACCAATTCCTGCTTCCTTATAGAGGTCAATRAGGCGCCGGGCCCTCTGAATCATTCCTTCCTTATCAAAGGACAACCTTTGAAACAAGAGCAGGACTGCTTAAGATCAGGAGCTTTTTCCTCCTCCCCACCACCAAAATTCAGGACAATCATCTATCATTTCATTAGCATCTCTGTTCCAATAAGCTTTTCTTCTTGGTTGAAGGTACTCACTTCCTTGTAAGCCCATCAAGCCATCAYAGGACAGCACTGCTACTCTTTGATTAAGAGAATCCAGAGCTCAAGATAACRTAAATTTTAGTCCATTAACTTTCTCAAAGTTCGGGGGGTTTTTTATACAATTAATGTAGAATCTGAACATTAGAAATTAATTAGCACAGATGGATCGTATGCAAGTCTTAAGTTTATTTTGCTTAATTAAATGCAATTTACCAAAATAAAATGCTGAACACCACATCTTTTTGGTAACTTCTGAGGCTAAGACAGTAGCACACAGAAGAGAACGAGCAGAGTTTTAAATACACTAGAAGCAAAACATTTGCTTTGCTTACAGCAATGCAAGGATGGAGGATGACCAAAATTCAAACTCTATTACTTGATTATAACCTGGTGACAAAACATGATGAAAATAGGTCCTAGTCAAGCAAAATAGTTGAAACCAGTTCTCAAGTTAAACAAATAGTAGCAATTTTTTTTGAACTTGTCTTATGGCAATGAGCTGTCTATTCAAGAATATTTTTTCCACTCACATAATGCCATGTTTTTGTATGCATAAACAGACAGGATAACCCAGAGGAAAATAAAACACTAACCTTGCATCTACTTCTGTGGACACACGGCCAGGTATCCTCTTCAATATTTCAGCTCCGAATAACACAAAAAGTTTGTCAGAAGCATTTTTGATCTGCTCATCTTGTGACCTGAAAAATAARCCAAGGAACGTAACTATTTCTGTGAGGCAAAGGAGGACAACAGTAACATCTTCAGGCCTCACCATAACTTTGAATATCTGAATTATACAACTCATTTAACATTGTTTCATTGCTCAAATAACCACTTCTGTGGTTACTTGTATAATTTTTCTGACCTCTCTCTTCCATGTATTGACAATAATAGTAGCCTTCATACCCTTATCTCTTATAATACTATGAAGCTGGAGTGGTTTCTTGAGAATGGCTTAAATGGAGATGCATTTCTAAAAAGCATTCCAGAAACTAGGACTTTAGGACTGAGACTTCCTGAAAAAAGAGAAAGGCCCATGAACATGAGAGAAAGCCTAAAATACTGCTAATAAAACAGAATGATATTTACATTAAAAAAAAATGCATCTTAAATATAGCTCTACTAAGAGACAAAGGGAAGAACATACTTCACTTACCCACCAAGTTTTTTTCCATACTCAACTGCATCATCCACAAGTTTCTGGTAAACTGGCATCTGAGCAGCAGCTAGTATGAGAGATGGGTTTGTAGTGGCATCTAGGGGCTTGTACTCATCAATTGCTGGGAAAATAAAAATAAGCTGTTTAAAATAATGAGCCAGCTTGGGTAAGTAAAAAGATCTTGCTCAAATATGCAAGAAAGTTAATGCTTAGGACTGTAGGATAGTAATATTCGTAGTAAAGAAGATTTAAGCTACATGCTACCACAAAACCTGGCAGATCTACCAGATGTTCAMGGATAAAGAGGGCTACAGTAACAAAATTAAGCGAAGCTGAGGCATTACCCAAAATAAACAAACCTGTGGAAACTACATCATAAAAGATAAGCTATACTAATTCCAAGTTTCTTACATATACCCTTATACTCAGTATAGCTGAATTTTGAGAAGCATAGGTGAGGAGAAACACCTTTCCTTCTAGCAGGTTGGGTTCTTTGTGCACACCCACCCCAAATGGAACAAAACATCAATCTCTAAGTTGCACAATGCAGTAAGTGATGATTTTTAGTTCCCCCCCGCAACAGTTGCCCACAGCTYCTCAATTTCTGTTCTTGCAACTTCCTTGTACCACCAGAGCTACTTCCTTACAGACGTTACTTGAAACTCCAGCTTATCTTAAGCCCAGCACTGCACCTATTTCAGGTGATACCATTTGTTTACCCAAGCAGGCTGTTGYTGGTCACAGCTGAGCGGTTCACACACCGGGTCTGACTCAGCAGAGGCCCGAGCCCTTCAGCAAGTGCAGCTCACAAACCCACTCGCCAATACAGCTGCATGTTACTAATACAAAGACAGTTGTCACCAGCATCTCTTCCTCAACTTAATGCAGTCAGGGATGAAAATCCAAAGTGATAAGCAGCTATTTTGTTTTTGCAGTGATAAAAGAAAATAAGTATTTTCTTTCATTTTCCAGTGGGTTCCTCCAAGCAATGGTTCCGATCCTTGACTAGATCCATTCCATACTAATAGGTCCTTCAAAACACTTGTAATGGATACGGATATTGCTTAAAATCAAGCACATTTGCAAAAACCGAGTTGTGAAGCACAGCAACCAATTGAGGACAAGTACATTTTGACAGCGGTTATTAACTCTCTCCAGAATTGCAGRATTTGAGAAGCATCTTACAGCTCTCTGGCAACAAGCACCAGTAATCGCATTAAGTCTTCACCCACTTTTCCTCAAGGTTGAAAGCAAGAGTTYGGGACAAGCCCAAGCTTAAACTTCCAAAGAAAAACTGGCAAGTCCAGCCACAAACAAAATTGCCATTTCTAGAAATAGAAGTGAAATAGGCAGTTGATCTTTTGCTGCAGGTCCAGTCAGCATCTTTCCCTACAGAGCACCATTGAGATGAGTTTTATATCRGCACAGAACTGGCAAACGGTGGATTTAGTGCTCAGCAAAGCGGCATTGATGCCGTGGTTCCCTGCCATGCAATTCTGAGGCAAGTAACAGTTTCACCACACTCCACAGAGGCCAATCTTTGAAACTAGATGTTCAGAACGTGCAGCAAGCAGGTGTCACCTAGTGTCAATGTATACACACGCATAGGTACAGCTTTATCTCTGGGACGAATGCCAGAGCTGATGCTACCTCTTCAGCCTTAAATTGACTAATAAGAGAAGCTACTGGACAGCAGCCATTTAAAACAGTTAATCCTATAGGTGATGAATAAGCAGAGTAGGAGCGGGATTATTGCAGACCAGGGCTCAAAACTCGTTGTTCTACCCCATCCAGCCTAACACAATAGAGGGATTTTTTTCYCCCCAGTTTTGATAAACGGAGGGCGCTGTCTGTCTGTCCAGGACTGCAAACGGTGGCAGTTCAGGAACAAGCGGCTTCATCATCATCATCATCTAACTCCACCTCCCTTTATACCACACGGGCGTGTTTGCTCAAGAGGGGAGAGGGAAAAAAAAATACACACYACACACACTCTCACATGCTCAAAATTGCTATTTTTAAATCACAGAGGGGGAAAAAAAGATGCGTTTTTTGAGGGAAAAAAAAAAAAAGTTCTTCATCAGCCCCGCAGAACATTCCCCTGGTCCAGATTTCCGGCTAGTGTTTTCCAATCCCGCGTTTGGGCCGTGTAAAGGAATAAGCGCATTAAAACGCCCAGCAACGGCCAACTCCTCGCCCAGTGACTCACGCGGGTTTGACACCTCAGTGAGAGCACGTAAGCGCCCACCGCCCCGCTCGCCACAAGGCGC